TATATATATATATATATATCGTAATTCAATCGGCTTCCCATTACGTCCCACAAATCATACGATGATAAAGGGGAGACACATCTAGTTTGTAGTCTGCAGAAATGAGTATGCCACGTGAGGGACTTGTCAATAATGAGCCCCAGGAACCTGGCCGATTCAGCGAATGGTAGCTAATATCTTCCCACGTAATGGATTGGATTGCTATGCAAGTGGTATATTCTGCAAAAGTGCACACCAGTAGATTTAGTGAAAGATAACGTAAAACACGTTGAAGTGTGTTCGTGGAGCACCAGATGAAGTTGTCTCTGTATAGCACTGATGCTGTTGGGTGAATAGAAGATGGCAAATGCATCCACAAACAGCGATGCATTTACAGATTTTCGTTCGACCAACGCTATACTATTTATGGCAATGGCAGAGTGACATTTAGCACCGACCCTTGGGTGGTACTGTTTTCATGAGGGTGGCTGCTAGACAATTTGTCACCTACGCGAACGTGGAAAGATATATTGAATAAAAAATTGGAGGAATACGGGGACCCCCTTCCCCTCAATCCCCACGAGTGCAAGGATCGCAAAATGCCGTACCTCCAAGGTGTCGTAGACCTTTTCTATATCAAATAGTACGTCCACAAGATGTTTCAGGATGATGTTGAATTTAAGTTGCCAAAGCGACGACATGGTTCAGGCTTGATCAGTATTTCCTGAATCCGCATTGGATTGATGAGCATATTTATGCACTCCAAAGACCAGACCAAACGCTGATTTATCATCCGCTCCAGCACCTTGCAAACGTAGCTGGTAAGAGAGGACGATAGCCAGATAACGAATTGTTAACACATTTGTGCTGAAGCAGACTGTAGGCAATTTGTCGCCGAGTTGCGAGCTGCGTAGTATTAAAATCGATTATGGGGGCGCTAATATGAATTTCCCGCGTCACACTTGAAAACTGATTTTCTCGCTGTCTGGCTGCGCCAAGTTCTCCTCGCCAGGGCGCTGGACCGCCGCCGCACCCACTGCGGTGGGGAGGGGAAAAAGTATGTTTACCGCGTGGTACTTTTGAGGCGAGTGACAGCGGCGAGGCTATTTGGTGTTCGGCGGTTCGGTGGTGAGGCATTGGACCGAGACACAACCATTGTGGAAAAGCACCTCTAGACTAGCTGCCACCGAGTTGAACTGGAAATCGCAGTTGATGGGAAGTGCTGGAGAGAAGGAAGTTTCACTGTTTTTAAAATGTTTCTCCCCCTCAACTACTAGTGTGCCGATTTTGGAGTAAGACGATTTTTGGCACCGTATTTGGTCAAGTGTCCTTTTATCTGTCGAATTCTTCTCCATAACAGACGTGGTGGAATGTGGCCATTAAGAGACGAGACGTATGCTCTACATTATGCATTTTGCTCTCTAAAATTGTTCTCCTAACCTTTATATGCGATGAGATTATCCTCGGTTGGATAATGCTTGAGCCAGGCCAGTGGTATTTTTACGAGCACTAACCTTTCCAGCAGATCACATTTTACCAGAGGACAAAAGGATATCGCGGTTTTCGCTTGATTACAGAATAGAGGTAAAAGCAGTAACGAGTATGGCACTATTAAAACGTGCACCACCCACATAGTCGGAGGGACCATCTGACAGGTTAACATTATTTTTAACAGTAGGTTAGGTTTGGCATTTAAGTTAACATTATTTAGTCAGCACGTTGCACGATCCATTGAGATGGCACGTAAAATCAAGGCAAAGTTGATCAATTTTGACAATAGGGGGGAAATGATCGCTTCCCTTTAGATCTTCCAATATGGTCCACTGCATAGCAGTAGCGAGTGAAGAGCTGCAAAGAGCTACGTCAAGATCCGTGCTCGAAATCGTAGCTATGGCGAAATGTGTTCGTTCACAAATGTTAAGAATCATCAAATTAGTAGTGCTTATGATAGATTCCAAAACGGGAAGGACCCCAACGAGAACTGTGAGCATTTACATCACCAACAATGAAGAAAGATGTGGGCAATTGGTTCATTAGGCCTAGGTCATCTACTGTCACCGTTTATCCTGGGAGGATATAGATGGTACATACAGTGAATGTGAGGTATAGGAGATACACCTGCACAAACCTACACTGTTTGAAGGTAACTCTGAATAGGGACCTCTGCAGAAAGCATAGAAAAAGCAGAGAAGCAAAGTAGCTACCCTGCCGTAAGCACGGTGGCCGTCATTGATATCAACCATATATACGAGGTAAAACCGCGTAAAGATAGGGGCGCGGTGGAACAAGATGTCTCCTGTAAACAAACGAAGGCGGGACTAACGGGACAAGAGTTTTGGTTCGTCCCGCCGGAAGAAAAATCCATTACGATTCCGGGATAAGAGAGCTGTTGCTAAGAGTTTAAGAGGTCGTCAAAGGGACTTTTTCTTTCCTTTTACGACTATGCAGCCCGAAGGGGTGTCAACTCTGGCTGAAATTGTCTCCAAAGCAGACTACTCCTGAGCACTACTCGGCAGGATCAGAGCGAGTCCCAGGAGTAAGGGTAAGTGGTCGGAGTTTAGAGGATCGATTATGTTGAAGGGTGTTCGGACCAGAGGGCCAATTACATCAACCTTCGTGCGGGGCTGAGATGGTTTTTGTTTTTAGACGGATTTTCACTTTCCTTGCAGAGGCGATGTGTCCTCAGGGAAGTCCACAGGAGCACCTGGCAACAGAAATGAGCAACTGGGGGAGCAGCAGGTGATGTCTGGCAACTCGTCGCTTTCGCCGTCTCGGCCAGAGCAGCAAAGAATGAACGCCTAAAATCTACAGGATTCTTTGCCAGGTATTGGCATTTTCATGAAGAAAGGACACTTCCTCCGATATTCGTATATTTTGAATTTCCCTCTCCCGATAGGTAAGGCACCTGTTGTAATTGGCCGCATGGCAGTTAACCCAGCGAAGTGGTAATACATAGGGATCCGTATCGCGCGTGGATTTGCCGCACTTTGCGCAAACAGGACTTTCGGCGATGTGCCGTTGTTGAATATGGCCAAACCTCTGATACTTCAAGCAGCGCAGGGGATTTAGCACGTACTGCCGCACGTGGAAATTACAAAACCCACAACTAATCCTCTCTGGGGATAAAAGCATTGTACATCAGGATCAAGGTGGTAGTGGGGATCTCTCTCCCATTCTCCTTCCTCTTGATCCTTAACACCTCCACTACGCCTTGACTATTAAAGAAGTTCCTCCTCACTTTCAGACGCAAAGTTATATAATTCACTACTCCCTTTGATAGGTTAAGGGTAGGATGAGTGGTCACTTCCACCTGGAGGCCAGCAATCTGCTTAGTTTTGGAGATATTTTTTCAATTTCATCATCGGTGCTTCGTAGAGAATGGTACCATTCCTCTGACGCACCACCCCTTGGAACTCACCAGTACTGGCCTCAATGGCTCGCGCGAGACGATCCGCTAACACGTTTTTCCTTCTTTCGTGCAAGCCATCAAAAAGAAATGTGGCTTCTTTGGTTTACCTTCATCCCTAAGGAAGAAACTACTCAAATACACCATTGTATCAAAACATCGCCTGTTGCATACTCCACAGAATTCAAGCGGATTGCCATGATCCGCCCGCTCACTCTGGAATCCAGTAGACCTACTCAGAACAGATTGATCAGTAGGTTAGATTCCGACTACCCGTTCAGAAGCGGCCAAGGCCAAAACCATCTGTTGGAACCTACATGGTGCAGAGACCTCCCATCAGTGAACAAGGTTCACCTGTATTCGCACAACGAATATGGCTAGAACGTGTCTACCCACAAGAAACTAGCGTCAAGGCGACTGACAGAAACGCATACTCAGACCCCTCATCTCCCAGGTCACTCATTCCCTTGAAAACTATGCACAGCAGACACGTGGGTAGGAGTTCAACATACAAAAATGTGCGAACGAAAAAAGAGAAAAAATATAAGCAACATAAAATGAGAAGAAAAATGGAGAAAGGAACACTTGAGAGCCTTCTCTGCATCGCCGTCAGGGCGGGGAACAACCCTCCTTGACGGGGCGAATCACTGCTGATATACTTCTAGGCAAGATGACTCCAAAAAACCTAGTTGCATGCGTTTCTGATAGCAATTGGAGGTCGGTGTCTAATTGTGCAAGTATTGTTGGAATTGAGACGCTTAGATGAAGGAGGGATATCTCATGATCCCTCACTCGACTAACGTCATGTGATTGGGTCACTATTCAACTCTCCGCTAAGTGATGTCTGCAGGCAGAGAGGATAGAGGAGAATGGAGGTCAATTTTACGGAGTAAAAATCTCACACGCTGGGTAGTTTGGGCTACTGAATTTTAAAGATTTCTACGTAAAAATGCATACAGATATACACACACAGGCAGACATAAAATAAGACTAAATAAATAAATAAAACATTTTCATCAACTTATGACTACAAACCTGGCCAACAATAAGAAGAAACCAGCGTCCTACAGGACTCGGGTAAGCAGTAGCAACAGAGTTCAATCCAGTACTCGAATCTTTATCAGATAGCAAGCCTCTTGAGCATGATAATGGATATACCTCATGCCATACTACCAACTGTTGCAAAGGTTCTGAACGTAGCAACGGGACCAATCCCCTTTGCCTCAGCATTGTGTGAACATCAGGAAGATCTGCTCTTGGAAGATGCGATGCTAAGAGGTATCCCTAAACAGAACAGTTACACACACAAAATTAAGAAACAGTGTTACATCATTAATCAAAGTGAGTTAAATTGTGAAGAAAATACAAATAAAACAGAAAATAAATCCTTACCTTGTGGTACATGCAACTGCCAATTATAGTGAAGAGCCGTTGGCAATCATTAATGTTGCTCCCCTAAAATTAGAAAAAGAAACGGAATAACATATCAACAGATATTAAGCAATCTCTCATTATTTCAAATCTTTAAACAGTAATTCCCAGTTCAACTGGGTTAGGGCTTGTTAGTCAAATTATGACTTCACTTCAAAGAGAGAACAGTTTCTTTTAAGACTTACCAATTCCTCAAAGTCATTGGACTCCAATTCAGATAGGGCTGAGTTCAGACGAATCTATCAATATAAAAATTACGAATTCACATAAAAGACGATAACATTCTTACAAAATTATTTTTAATCTTTAAAAGTACAAACCTGAGCACTAGTTGGTAGAGGAACCCAATGAGCTACAGGCATAAGTTCCTCAAACTGAGGTCCAGAGTGATCTCCGTTGATCAAACGAGAGAAAAACAGGGCAAAAAAGCAATCCACTTCTGAACGACACTCAGGAGCAGTAAAAGCCCTATTGAATATAGAAAAGAGCATTACCATGTTTTTATGAACAAATCAAGAATTATAGTATTTATTTTATTCCCACACTCTCAATTGTCTGCGAGCAGGAAATGTGAGTTGAATGGGTGAGAAGAAAAAGGTACATATTCCGATATCCTTACGTCTCAGTAAATGACATTAAAAATGTTGTAACTACATGGACTGACAACACGTTATATTGATGATTTAAACATTTTAGTTCGAATCCATTTATGAAATGACAGATGTATGTAAATGAAATGGCATAAAAAGTAGAAAATATCTTGTGGAATATGTTCCTTTCACACCTCATTTAAATCAATGTTTAAAATACTTTTATGTATGAAATAATTCTAATTATATTCATTTAGATTTAGTTAAAATATATTAGACGTATTTATGTCATTCAGGGTAAGAGCTATGTTATATTAGCTTGGGACGGATTTACAAATACAACAGTTGTAGCTTTTGCAAAGACTTCATTATCACAATACTAAGTTGAAAGTTAAAAAAAGGCATCCTCATTCTATCTTTTAATAATTATTACTCATCATTGAAATCATTATTAACGTTGTTGGCGTCTTCAGAGCATTGGGTATTCAGGTATTCCTCTTTTATGGGAGTATTTGTTATGGAGAGAACGCTTTAGTGTACAGTGAGAAAGATTGTCATAAAGTATACATAGGACAAACCAAAAGGAAATAAAGTCTTATCCGAGATTAATAGCAAAAACATTGCATATTAAAACAAATATTTAAATACACAGGTACAATATAATAAATTCACAAACATATGTAGTTATGTATGTATACTTAGAATGATAGTAAACGAATAAACAACAAATATCCGAAATATTAAAGCTGGGATAATGAAATGTTAGAACTCTCTCAAATAAAGAAGCTTCATTAGAACATGAATTAAAGCGGGGATTGACATTGTTGCAATGACTGAAAAAATGACAAGGCTCACGAGAATTACAAAATTATATAATGATAGTGGAGCCCAAAAACATTCCTATTTGGATCAGAAAAACATTGCAAAACAATAGCATTGTAGAAAGAACAATCTAAATGGAATTTAAAGTAGAGATCACGTTAATCTTTGCCTTATATGCATCAGAAGATGGGAGAACCGACGATGCGATATAATTCTTCGAACAACTTCAGACAGCAATAAATAAGATCAATAACAGAATATCCCCTTTTTAGGGATGGCTGCTCGGCCTCAGCTAGAAGGCAGTCCAGCCGCAATAGGTCGCACCCCACAAGACTACTCAGCATACAAAGATTAAGATGGGGAGAGATATGAGCACGCCAGGGATTTGTCCAACGTGAGGCCCACGAACTTGGCAGATACTGCGAATGAAAGAAGATTTCTGATACTGCTGAAGTGGTACATCGTGCAGAAATGCACATCAGTACATTTAGTAGGAGAGTCGTGAAAACCTGATGACGTGCTCCATCCGTGGAGCTTGCTGAGCACCAGTTGAAGTTGCTTCTGGATAACAATGATGCTGCTGAACGAACAAAATATGGTAAAATCTACAAGTAGCGACGTCTTTAGAGATTCTCCAAGGTCGACTCTAAACCATTTATGGCGATGGCAAGCAGTGACACTCAGAACCGAAGGGGAATCATTTGCTAAAGGGTGACTGGTGGAAAGCCTGCCACCAACGCGAACACGGAAGGAACTGTTCGAGAGGACATTTTGTATGAATAGGGGGATCTTCCTCCTAAATACCCAGGACTGCAGGGTTCATAGAATGGCGTACCTGCAAGTGGTCCCTTGTTATGTCGAATAATATGAACACAGATGCCTCAAGGCAAATGCAATGATGCCTCAAGGCAAACGATGTGGAAATGGCTGTTGCCAACACGAGGTGGTAAAGCCGTTTTAGATTGGCGTCAACATATTTCTACACTCCAAGGTCCAGACCAACCGTTAATTCACCATGCATTGCCGCACTTTGCACATACAACTTATGAGAGAAATGAGTAGATAGCTTGATGGCAGTGATCGATCTTCCTTCCTTTTAGAACTTTAGGATGATAGCTTCTCGCCATACAGCAAGGATGGAGTGCTCTCCCAAGTAAGGATCAAAGAGCCGGAGGAGAAATTGCATGGCCGTTTCAGGAAGATGTAGCATTCGATTATGGATTTCATATGCACCAGGGAGTGTTCTGTTCAGAAGCACAAAAGCAGGACCCTTTCCTCACAAGGAGAATAGGATATTAAAATCGTACGCAGCTGTTCTGCTCGAAAAATCCAGAGCGCGGTTTTCATTCGTTCTTTGAGCACAGGAAAGTCTAGAGCTTAGATCGCCGAGCTCGACATGCGTTCATAATGGGGGCAAGTTCCTCCACAATTGCGTAATCTTACCGTTCTTACAACCTGGCATTGAATTTGGGTATGAATAGTCCTCGATTTAAAGTACCTTCCTCCATACCAGATGTTTTGGTGCATGGCAATTGAGGGTGCAGACATATGCTCTCCACAATAAATTTTTGGATTCTAGAATGCTTTGCTCGTCTACGTTGTGCACCTCTTATCAATTAAGATTATCCACGGATGGATAGTGTTTCAGGTGCGCATATGCCTTTTATCGGGCACTCGGGCAAGGTGTACATTACCTATTCGAAAATGTCGCCTCAGTCATGTGTGGGATGAATCCAAAGAGGACTCTCGATATTTACATTACCGACTATCAAGATTGGAAAGGAAAGTTGGTACAAGAAGCCGAAAAGTTCATTAGCGGATACACCCTGTCCTGAAGAGATGTAGATTTTACAGGGAACGTGCGAGAGGGGAGGTGCACCAGCACACACAGTGCTGCCAGTGCACTAGTGCTCGGTCTGAACTCAAACGTCTGTAGAGAGCAGTGAGTCGTGGATTACAGTAGCAACTTCGTCATGTACGCGGAGGTCGTCATCAACTTCAGCCCTACATGGGGTCAAACGGTCAAAAGAACGTGGTGGAACACGATGTGTGTCCTGTAAACAAAATATTGAAAGCATAATGGGACAACGACAGTTTCAAATCGTTCCGCCGGAAGGAGAAACCATTCATATTCCATGATAGGAGAGTCATGATTATATTAAGTTAATTCTCTTTTCTTCGAAGTCGTGTCCGGAATGGGCGAGATTCCTCCCCAATGGGAGTTTTCTCTGAGGTAAAATCCACCTTGGACTACCAGATTACATGCTAGCTCGGAACGTGTATTCGGTGTAGATTGTCTGGGCTTTAACGAGGACTTAATAGTAGATAAAATGTTATCAGACTGGTATCCACTTTCATAGAGATTTTTGTTTGTAAAGATTACGTAGAGAGAGACGACTGAACTTTTTTTGCAGGTTTTTTATACTTGGTAGGTATGATGACACTCCTAGCCGAGTGCGATATCCACAAGGCGGTCGACTGTGGATACCTGGCACGGGAAGTTCACGACTTAGGGAGATCTTGCTCAGATTGGATGCTCACTACTTTCGAGGTCTTTGCTTTCACGGCGCTAGAAAAGGACCGAGAAAGGTCAACAGGATTCCTTGCCTGATACCTACGTTTGGCCTCAAGGAAGGACATCTCAGCGATTCTAATCTTCTGGATCTTTTTCCCTCATACAGGTAAGACATTGCTTGAACTTGGCAGGATAGTCACCTTCGCAATTTACAAAATGCAGTGGTGTAGTGCAGGGTTTAGATTCGGGCATCGATTTTCCACTTTCCGCACCCCGAGACTGCCTTGCACAGCTGTTGGGTATTGCCGAACCTTTGTCACTAAAAATTCATAAAAGGGTTAGGCACATATTGTTGTACGCGGAGGTTATAAAAACAGCAGGAGACCCTTCAGGGAAAGATGGAAGATATCAGGGTAAAAGTGGAGATTTCTCGCCCATGCCCCTTCCTCTTGATCCTGTAAACATCCATCACATTGGCTCTTACAAAACGCGACTCATTCTTCCTCACACTCAGCAACGGTCTTGGTAACCATTCCCTTACAGATGGTGTGTTAGGTATGTGGTCACTTCCACCTTCATGCCGGCAACCTGCTTTGTATTCCGACTTTTTTTCAATTTGGTCATTCGAGCGTAATTTGAAGTGAATGATACTATTCTTTTGTCGCACCACAGCTGGAATATCCCATAAAGTTCATCTATAGCGCGCGGCAAACGGACAGCTTTAACCTTTTTAAAGGATTTACTTTCATCGGCGCATGCATTTAGGAAGAAACTAGTCTTCTTCGGTTTTAGAAACTCTGCCTTGCGAAAAAGGGCGAGGGAGAATGCTTAGTATCTATGGATGGATATCAGATTCATCCCCGTGGTCCATGCCCACCACGGCGCCGAACGCGGACACATCTGTGTCGCAGAGTTGCCACGAATATAGTGGGGGATGACTTAGCATTGCCCCGTCCTCCGCTCACCATGGAGCTCAGTACAAGACCTAGTTCGAGCCAATTGATCGTGTGGATTAGCTTCCGACTGCTGGTCTAGAAGAGACCGGTGAAAGAAAAGTATGCTGAAACCTACAAGGACTGATCCCCAAAATACGAAAACAATGTATCAAGTGCAAAACAGATCGTAGCATAAAGACAGTAGTTGGGAAAACAACGCCTTTCCACCGCCAGGACACACTTCCCATTCGACACAGGTTTCCATGCACGGCAAACACATTGGTAGGCGGCATACAGGTGAGCAGTGAAATAGAGAGGTAAAAGAAAAGAGGATGCTATCAAAGAACGAGAATGAACAATGTGAGAACATTGACTTGCGAGCCCTCCCTAGGCAAACGTGGACCAACCCATCTCGACGAGTCCATATTCGAAGAGCGGGATGTCAATACTCCTTAGGCGCGCTTGTCCGGTGGTCTCAGAGGGTGTCTAGAAAACAATGCATCCACAATGACACATGAAATCAGAGCCGAGGTTTCCCTCCGGTGTTGCTTCCGCTCCGGCTGTCACTCTTGTAGCCCGGCCCCCATGGAATTGTCGACTTTGCTAATGAAGGCCTTCCAGCATAGAGATTTGCTCCGGGCGATCGCCTTTCTCAATTTATTTTTGTCGTCCTTTTGTTGGGCAGACAGAAGCGCCGGATTCAGGTCTCAGTCTTCTTCTTTGGGCCCGTTGTCAGACGGAGCTTGTTTAGGATCCCTGTGTTAGGGATCCTAAACATTCTAAGAATCCAACCATTCAAACATGTCTCCACACTGTTGACTGTTGTAAAGATGGATGAACTCTCAATTTCATTATGGACCGCAACCAGAACACCACCTCCTCTTAGCAATGAACGCATATCAGGGTTTCTACCTAGCCTGTATAATCTGTAATTATGCATGTGCAATTCCTTAAAAGAAAAATTCTTATTCAATCAAGTTTCTGTAAAAATAATCATTATAATAATAATTATACTTATTATCAATTATATCATCAGTAGTAACATTTGCCAAACTACTGTCTCTTGATTGCAAAAGTTTGGTGCATAATCCTTGTACATTTTGGTAATATATGTTAACATTGTTTCTATTACTGGTATATCTCTTAGTTGTTTTTTTCTTTTTTTTCTTTCTGTGATACAATTTTGGGTACTCCACCAAAGAATTTTAGTATAATATCCTTTTCACCATTCACCGTGTGTTTTCAGTTTCTTGATCAATGCCTTAAGGTGAATTTGCTGCTTCCTAGCAAGATGCATAAGCAAACGGTCATACATACCTTGCAGCTTCTGGGCTGAAAACAAAGTTCAGCAAATTTTTTAATGTGTGTCTTGATTAAGAACACAGCCGGTCGGCAGCAGGTGGGGGCGGGAAGAGGGGTGGGGTGCGGGAGAAGGGTTGTAAAACGCGGGGATGCCGGTGGAGGCTTGAGAGGCGGTCGGGCGAGCAAAGGTCAGTGGAGTAGGGAGGGCTGAGGGGGGGGGATGGTAGGGGTGTACACTTTGTGCTCATTTTAGCAGAGATGAAGAGAGTTCAGGGATTTTAATTCACAGAACTTAGTTTTTGGCTTGGAAGCTGCAAGGTATGTATGACCCAGTTTGCTTACACATCTTGCATACAATAACTACATCCTATTAATAATATTTGTACTTCAAATTTTAGCTCTGAGGATGATCGTTATGCGATCGAAACAATCATAAGCTGAATAAAAAGTATTGACACCACACAACATCTTTATTTATTTATCATAATAAAAAGGTATCTACCTCACCAGCGATCTAATTAATTAATTCAATGTCATTCTGTCCCTGGCATCGGTTTGAAGATCATAAATAATGACATTCTTGTCTCTAAGGCGCATCAGTGAAAGCTTCTCAATAACATTCTCTTCTGTCACAACAGATGTTTCACCAGAGACCAGACTATCCTCAAGCCTTCAGATCCTGGCTTCCAAACTATCAAATTTAGCATTCTGGTCATCAAGTGCCTCACTAGTAACAGTTATGGACCCAAAGCTGGCTAATAATTCAAACTGTTTAGACAACATGACCTTGAGACACCATTATCAGGATTGCTGAATACACTTGAAACTCAACCACTCAATAACACTTTCACCCTTTCAGCATAGCTGTGTTGGTATTGTCATTTTCATAGCTTTTCTCTCTCTCTCTCTCTCTTTTTTTTTTTGGGGTGGATAGTAATGATCCTGATGGAAGAAACTCACCTGGTAAGAGTCTGAAAATTGAACTGGAGGAAGTGCACCACATCTGCAATTAACTGACGACCTTCTTGTAAAGGGTAATGAGAACCAGGTAGAGCAAGAAGTAGCAATTCACGACCACATGCCCAGTAAAGCACATGAATGAATTCCCCATTCAGCATAATGGTTGAACTACATAAAAAAATATTATTAATAATAACAATAATAATAATAATTATGATAATGATAGCAACAACAACATGAAAACTTTATTTACAATCACTTCTGAGATTACGAGAAATTAATAATGTTCTTAATTATGAAAAAATGGCCAATTAATCAATTGAAAAAGAAATATAAACCCTATGAGAGAGAAAATAAATCCTTTGGATGAAAATAACAACATGTAAAACAGTTGTTTCACAAGTACAAAAAATGAAATAACAAAAAAATCACTTGTAACCACATAACTTTGGTTTATTGCAGTGTCACAATAAGTCCAAATATTCTTTACAACAGTTCAAGAAAAAATATTCAGTTCCAGTTTCAAAGATCTTGGCATAATGTAATTCAGCATAATAAAACAAAATAAAGTTTACTAGTCAAAAATGAAAAGGGTCTACACAAGAGTCTTCAAAAGGGTGTTGAATTTAAGAGTTTCTAAATATGAAGTCCAGAAAGTAGGAAAATGTGTACCATTCACATCTCATATGAATTAAGCATTGAAAATAACAGAAGGAAGTTTGAGGAAATGCAAAAATCCCCTTCAAATTTTTAATCATTCTCAGTAAAATTTACAATAAATTATATTTTTCATTTAAATCAATGATTTTTTGTGAATAATTTATTTTAAATCGTGATTTAAATCAATGATATAAATCACTGAATATAAATCAAAACCCTGTTTCAACTACTGGTGTATTTCCATAGAAAAATAATTTTGAAGGCAACTTTCAAAATTGTTTAAAGAAATTATTTTATTTCACATTTTCTATATAGAAAAGATCAAAAATTCTATTTTGTCAAAATATCTACCAGTCTATTTATTGTACTGCTTTAAAATAAAACTACAATTTATTGCGAGCTGGGATTTGCATAGTGCTGAGGTGCAAGTCTGTGAATATGTGCAGTGAGCAAGAGTAAAGGGCAGGAAAACATAAAGTCACACTAACTCATCTGAAGCACAATTATCAAGCACAAAGATGTGTCGAATTAAAACACAGGATGTACTCAGAGCTCAATCAGAGAATGATTAGCAGCTAGGAGAAAGAACCACAAGAATAAGTGGTAGAAGAGTAACTGAAAATCTCTCTTTACAAATATCATAAAATAACCTCAATAATATCAACAAACACAATGAATCCATACAACACAGGTGCATTGCAGTGTTTGCAGCACAGGAATACCATACACTAGGGAACATTATTGTTATCTAATCTGTGTGTGCGGAGCTAGACAATTTTTGACCTGGGGCAATGCTGAAACGTAGTCCTCCTTGAAAAAAATTAAAAATGAGATAAGTTGTATCAAGAAACTATAGAAATTATTTTATTTCAACAAATAACAAAAATTACAATGTTTAAGCTAGAAAAAGTTTTGGAAATATATTTTAAATAATAGTTTTATGCAAAAGTATTTAGGGACCAAAAAATACAATTTCCACAGTGAAATGTCAAAACTAATTTTGTTTAGTTAGGGTTTTATAAAATCACTTGTTAAATACATGAATTTCAGTAGAACCTATTTCAATGATAGCGTCATTTGATTAATTTCATTCAGTCCTTCCTTATAAGTAATTAACTATTCAAGGTAAAAAATTAATTGAAAATTTTATAAAATAACAGACTATTATTCCGCGAGTTATAAAATTACAATAAAGATTTTCTCAAGTTGTAATTTCTTTTTCAATTTTTTACTAATTTTTTTCCCATCAGTTCCTTGACTTGAGCTCCTTGGGCTCTTTGACTTGCGAGGTCCCAGGCAATAGCTCAGTCTGCCCATGCCTAGCACCGGCACTGTGTGCATGACAATTATGTTGAGTATACTGGGACTCAAAATTCTTACAATAGGCAAAGTCTACTCAATCATTGGGTACAAAAGTCCAATATGTGATTAAAACATATCAATTCAGCAGTGGTAAGGCATTTTTTCATGGTCATTACTAGGTTTGTCCAGCAATGCTGTAACATTGGATGTGGGGAGGGGTGTCACAATATCACAGGGTTCTCTTTTTTAAACACACAAAACCACACACATTTTTCTGATTTTCTCCCCATTTATTTTAAACATAAATCTCTTGGACTCCTTTAAGGTAATATTGAAATTAAAACTCCCTTTGAAATCATCTTTTCAGCAAAACTAAAATTCATTCAGTCTCATGTGTAATGAAATAATTATTTTAAAATTTTGATTATCGTTCTTTATGATTATTTCTTGCTCCACTCAAAAAATTCAAAATGGGCCTCCAATCAACTGATCAGTAGCTGCCATACTGACATCCAACAAAATAAAACTATGTCATCTTGTAGAATGTCACAAGTGCTGCATTGAAACAAGTGGAGATGCTGACTGTTCAAAACTGGGGACCTTTTGGTCAACAGGCTGAGTAATACCCAATTAGAACCCGAAACCCAAGTGTCCCAATTACAGCTGAGGTTTACTCTCACTATCTTGGGATAATGCATCAGTGCTGGGAACCCTCTCTGATTCTTTGAAGTCCCTCTGCGACAGCTCTGCCAGACCTCAATAAACTTCCATATGCAGATGAAGCAAAACATAATTAAGGAATTGTAGACAATGCTACTCACCAGTACAAGCTTGATATGCACATAAATTTAGAATTCAAATGATTTAAATTCACAAAAAGTTTAATGTATTATGTCCTATAAAATAATGTGTTACTGTTGTATTGACATTCCTGAATCTGTAAGATAAAGATGTGTAAATACTCCTAAACACCCTTCCTTACTTATAGAAACTTGTGTTTGTAGGCTTCCATGGCCCGAGTCATTGGACACTTGTTCTGGTTGATCCGCGTCTCAGTCGACAGAGCTGACGTTTCGACCATAATGTTGTGGCCTCCTTCAGAGCTATACTGCTGACAGCTCTGAAGAAGGCCACAACATGATGGCCGAAACTTCAGTTCCATCAACTTGAGACATGGCTCTATGCGGACAGCCAAGTATCCTTAAAGAAACGTAAGCCACCCTTTTGTAGTTTCAAATTTACAAATCACATTTGCAGAAATCCTCTTTTCCTCCTTTGGATTCCTACAGTTCTTTCTCAATTGATACTTTTTGGTTGGTTCTTTGTCTTAATCTTTTATAATTATGTTTCATTTTAAAGTATAAAAACTCCTTTCTACAGATGCTGTTGAAACTGACATCAGACATATTAAATTAGCTCAATGGAACACTTTCTTAAATTCATATTCACAGTTCCCTTCTTTCATAAATTGTACCAATTTTCATGGGGATTTGTCTTGAAATGTTGCATTTCTATTAAACACAATGGTTAATTTTTTAAGCTAGTAATATGAAAACATTTGTAAGTATGAAAGCTAAAAAATTCTCATAAAAATGATTGTTTCATGATGAAATGCAAATATTTTCAGACACAATTAAAGTGTCTCTTCAAATATTAGTGAACCAAATAGTTTTTTTTGTTTCGGCTTATCTATGATACCTTCAAGATCCTTCATGATGCTTGACAACTAATAAAACCCTAAAATAACTAATAATAAACCCTCACGCTCTCAAGAATTAGGGCACTCTCACACAAACATGCTTTCTTAGTGGTGCATTCTGCACACACAGCTGGGAGCAGTTAATATTCTCCATATGCAATGGTGACTGGACCGCATATGCCTTTAAAATGAATATGACATGAAGCAGCTGAATGACTCATTGTGAGTAGCATGTGAGCACTCAATTCAATGTACTAAGAATCTGGTAAAACATTTGCGACTTTCTTGTTTACTGGCTGTTTCTCAGCTGTTTGTTTTTCACTATTATTGCTAAAATATCAGCATGTTTTTACTAAAATTTAATTCTTCTCTAAAAATATTGAAAATGCAATAAGTTTATAATTTTATTTGGTCATTGCCACATCCATCAATAACCAGATGCCTCAGCCCTGCAATTTAGTAATGTGATGTGGAATTTGTACTTATTCTGGTGTTTCAAGTATTTAATTGGCTAATTATTACAACATTAATCTGGCTTTTCTTAATTTTAAGATGCACCTTTCTGGTGGAGAAGGGGTGAGCTCAGGAAGCAACAAATGCAGAGTGAGTAGTGCTCCACGCACAGCTTCCAAGGGGCAGTGACTAGCAGGTGCTGGAAAGCAGTAAAGCAGGCTCTGATCATCTTGAGATTCTTCACCTGCTGATAGCCCCTCTTGAGTAAGATACATTACACCAATACATGATGTTTGAACAGAGATACACAGCTCTTCTGTTGGCTTCACTAGTACTAAACTACGAACTCTCTCTGACAGTTCTCCAGCCTTAAAACCTGTCACCTAAAACCAGACAACATTTAAGATTGAGAAACTTCAAGATCACAATAATCTGATGAAAATGCTGCTGTTAAATAAATATATACAAAACATTTTGATTTCTACCTGCTGAAAACTTGCAGTTTTTGCTTCACTAACACAATCAGAAGTGAGTCTTTGGAGTTTCAACTGCACCTGCAGGAGAAAAAAGTCATTAATTTTCTGACATTAGTTGTTTCTCTGAATTATAAAGATATCTCTAAAGAATCACAGAATGATTTTGCCTCTTATTTCTTAAATATTAACTTTCATTACACAGCAACTGCAAGTGTGCACAGGCTCTTTTGTGTATCTAAAGTTAGGCGCTGAAGATATATAATAAACTGTTAAGGGTAACTAAACACTAGCAATTTAGAAAACTAAAATCACCTGATGCTCATCTACAACAGATAGGTTTCTTAATATGACAGAGATTGTGGAAACAAACAAAATTCATGTAATTTAATTCCAAAATATTTGAAAACTATTAATATTTTTAAAAAATTTTAAAATAATTTGAAGACTTAATACTGAGCAATGGATTTCACCGAGTCAGAAATCTCTAGATTTGATAATTAAGGTGAATGATTTATTTATATATTTTATGAATTTTCCCGCAATGTTCATTGGCAAACAAGAGATCATATTCAACCCCTCTATATGCCCTAGGATTTGGTAACATTAATTCTGACACATTCTATATACTGAACTTACAAGAAAGTAAAAGGAGAAAGATTATATTTAATTTAATCTTTTTGAATCAGAGTTACTTTCAAAAAACACAATAGAGAACTTCCAAACTACCGGAACTACACTTTGTTTTCATATGTTTCATAATTCCAAAATGTTACATAACAAAATGTTAATAGAATTTATGAAAGACATGTTTAAAATCATAGATAATCAAGAATATTTATTTAATATTGAAAATTCCAGACCTCTTAGAGCTCAGCAGAAGTAATGCAATAGAATAAGCTGAGAAACTGATAGTGTGCATATTTTTTTCATTGATTTCTAAGATATACAAACAAAACTTAGAACCAGACAATCAAAAACAACCAACAATCAGAAGTGATAGGAAGATGGTCGTAATATATGTGATGTAAAGAAAGATCAATATTGGATAAATTATACGATTTCTCAAATAGGTTAGTTCTTTCATTACATTCTTTCACCGAGCGAAGTGACTCAGTGCGCAGCGCGCTGACTTCGCAATCAACCGCCTTTTTTAATAATAATAATAATAATAATAATAATAATAATAATAATAATAATAATAATAATAATAATAATCCGTGGAAGTAGGTGGTCTCCTATCGGACGCGTCCCCAGGTGGCGGATCGCGGAATGCTCTTACCGGCCGCGCCGGAGGGCAGGAGGGAAATAAAATACCACCCGTAGACCCAATCCAGACGCTGGCGGCAGCCTAAAAACGCTAGGGGAAGGTGACCTCGAAAAGAAACCCACGGTCCCTCGGGATCAATCGTTACGGTGCAGGGGATCTGAGCCCCAGTACCGGCAGCCGGGGGTGGGCAAGTAGGCCCCTGGAGGTCGTCAACCAGCGACTGGAATCTCTGAGACATGGACCGCTTGGCGTCTCTGAAATACTATACTGCGACAAGCGAAAGCATAAACCAAGCAGGTTTTAACCCCTTTTCTGGGGAGTCAAAACTGCGGAGATCACCTCCAAGTACCCCCACGACAACTGGTGTACTCACAGGAGACAAGGCAACGCTGGTCCAAGAAGAGCCAACGTCGGCAGGGAATAGTAATGCGAGGGGCTGGACATCAGATAACTGGATGATGACTGAAAAGTTGATGGAAGACAATTCGGAGATTATTGCTCGTCTACAGAGTCAATTATCAGCAGCAGCAACATTCTGAAAACCAACCCAGTTATAGTGAAGGACACCTTGGCTATAGCTCTAGAAGATGTGGATGCCCTAAAAAATAGGTGGGAAAACATTAAAGACCAAAAGGGAATGTATGAGAAAATAATCCTCCAAGAGAATGACAAAAACGCCGAGAATACCCAAGTCGGCAAAAAGATAAACGAGAAGTCGGTGAAACCGGCACAGTCCCAGACGAAGAAGAAGAGAAAGAGACTCCAAGTCCACTTCAAAACAAAAGGTCAGAAAAGAAAGACCAGCAGGATGACGTCATAGAGCTTGTTACTGAAAACCAAACAAAAACGCCGAATGAGAACTGGCAGAAAGTGGAACACAGGAAGACGGTGAATAAAATGGAGAGTTCCACCAAAGAAGGCAATCAAACCCCCAAGGCACAGAACAGAAGATCCACCAACCAGGACACGACCAGACGTGCAGGAATTATATTACTTAACTCCAAAATAAGAGTCTCTAAATTTAAAGATACAAACAAAGGTTTTGTAGGGGTAGAAATGGACAGCCTTAGTATATACAGTTGCTATTTCTCCGCAAACGACCGAACAGAGAAATTTAAAAAGCAAATTGATGAACTGGAGGCATTGCATGAACTCAGCCCCAGGTGAAATAATCTTGGCTGGAGACTTTAACAGCCCTCGGAATGGGTGAAAGCAGAACTGATCGCAGAGGCGATATTGTTTGCGAATTCCTGGCTAGGAAGGACCTGGTAGTTCTAAACACAGAGATCTCATGTACATTTCAAAGGGGAGCAGCTTCTTCGATAATAGACTTAACAATAGGAACCACAAGGATAGTCAAGAATGTCCTGGATTGGCAGGTTCTCGGTGCTGAAACACTTAACGATTACCGCTACATTGAATTCTCCACTTCATTCGCTGGAAACAGGCCTAGAAGAAGGAATCATCCAAACATCGGTCCATTTTCGAACACTAAAAAGCTAAAAGAAGTTGATACCGTAAATGATTCCTTGATGAAGCTAAATTACTGGATTCCATGGGGTGGAGTAAAAGGAAAAGTGCAGAGTCCCTCGAAGAGGTACGGGAAATGTGCGAAACCGTTAAAAATATTGTGTCATCTCGATGCCCAGACATAGAAAGCCAAAGGGGGAAAATCAGGTGTATTGGTGAACAGCGACTATTGCAGAGATTCGTCAAGCATGTGTTAAAGCTAGAAGACTTGCAACAAGAGCTAAAATGGACATTCTGCTGACGGAAAATTACAAGACGGTCCGCAAAAGACTAAAACAGGATATCAAAAGAAGCAAAACAAAATGCTGGAAGGCCCTATTAAACGATGTGAACAACGACCTCTGGGGAAAAACCTACAAGATTGTTATGGGCAAATTTAAACCTTCAACAACCGCGGGGCTAGAAGACCCCGAATGGGTGAAGGCAATTATCCAAGACCTTTTCCCTAGCAGAGAATGTTGGGTAAGGAGCAGACGTTCGAACTACCTCTTCGACGAAGCCAACCGCTTCAAGAAGGACGAACTAGTCTAGACGATGAAAAAGACTGATGAAGATTGGAACTGCACCGGGACCTGACGGGAATTCCGAACGCGATTCTGGGGATAGTTGTAAAAGAATACCCAGAATGCCTTTAACCAGTGTCTTGAACAAGGAAAATTCTATAAGAGTTGGAAACATCAGAAGCTAATTCACATGCAAAAAGGTAACAAGCCAATCGATCGGACGTCATCGTTCAGACATTTGTGCCTGCTGGATACGATGAGCAAATTACTGGAGGGTTTGCTCCTTCTACGACTAAAGAGACATGTCCAATTTTCAACGAGGAAGTTTGGATTTACAAAAGGGACCCTCGACAATAGGCGCGATCTCAGAAGTAGTCCACCATACAGAAGCAGCAAAAAGGAATAGGAGTTTTTGTGCCTTGGTTGCGATTGACATCAAAAATGCCTTTAATTCTGCCAGCTGGAAAGACATCATACAAGCCCTTGTAGCTAGGAAGATATCTGAATACCTTGTGAGAGTCCTGGAGGACTACCTCAGTGAGAGGAAAATAATCTAAACTAACGGGTATAGGATTGAGTAAGACATGACGTGCGGTGCTCCATAAGGATCAAGAATGAGTCCCTTCCTGTGGAATACTCTATATGACGACCTGATGAATATCGAACTCCAGTCTTGTAGGCTACGCTGACGACACACTGATTATATGCCATAGTGACAACACGGTACTGGAAATGATGACAAACGAAACACTACGCAGGGTTAAAAATCGGAGGCCGTGTTGATTACAAACCGCAGAGCATTCCGCCCCCGGTGATTCGACTGGGGGAGGAACTTATTGAATGGAAACGGCATATTACATACCCGGGGGTGGAAATTGATTCACGACTGAGATTCGGACATATTATAAAATCACCAGGAAAAGCCGCAAAGACTGGATCAAATCTCTCCAGACTAATGCTGAACTCAGGAGGTCCCAGTGAAAGCAAAAGGAGGTTAATTTCCGCCGTAGTGCAGCTCAAAAATGGCTGTATGCCGCCCCAGAGTGGGGCAGATGCCGCTAACTAATGAGTCCATTCGACGGTAATTCACAACAGTTTCAAGAGAGGATGGTCTAAGGATAATCTCAGGATATCGCACGGTTCCGACAGAGCAAGCCTTAGGTACTGCCAGTGTCCCCCCCCAGTGAATCTTTTAGCCCAGGAAAGGAGGAACAAATGTACCTGAGGACGACGCAGACAACACAACCCTGTCACAAAAGACAATTAGAAAACATCAAAGCGGAATTGAGAAACCACTCCTGCACATGGCAAAACCGATGGGAACCTGAGTACAAAGGTAGATGGCACACAGCCTCTGTCCTACGTCAAGGATTGGACCAGCAGGAACCATGACACAATGGACTTCTACTTGACACAAGCCTTCTCAAGGCATGGGAACTTTCAAGCACATCTATAAAGATTTAAAATCGCTGAAAGCCCGATATGCGCATTATGTCATGAAGACGACGACACTATGCACACCATATATAGTTGCAAAGCTTGAGAGGAATAAAGAAGAAACTGCTACAGCAAATTGCGACGGGAATTAACGCCTGCAAACACAGCTCAGACTATGCTGCAATCCAGAGACAACTGGAAAACAGTGCGAGACTTCGTGGCTCACGTAATAAAACAGAAAGCCACTACTAAAAGCAGAGAGAACTAAAATACCATAGCGACCATCTGAAGAGGAAATCTCATGCTCTCAGCCAATCTTCTGCGTGAAGTAATGTCTCAACGACGGTCCCGCGCAGAAGATACCACGGCCCATGTGGATCGAGGAGGTTAGGTTTTAGTCGGTACGCCACGCTGGAGAGTCCGACATAACCGGACTTACAGGTATGTGTAACCCATTTCCCCTCCTCGGCAAAAATAACAATAACAATAATAATAATAATTAAAAATTGAGAATAATTGTGAAGTGCTTGATCTGTAACCCCGACATCTTTTGTATTAAAAAGGATAAAAATAAAAAATGATAACAATAATAAAGTTAAGTCTTAAAATGGTTGTCACAATATAATCCTATTTATTTGTTGTTCAGTCCCATATTTTAAATTAAGGACAACCACAATTGCGCGCGGCGATGGTGTTAGCGTATCGGGCTGTTCTACCCAAGTTGGCAGGATCAATGTGGATTTTGAAGGGCGAAAAAAATCCTTTGTACGCCTTCCTTCGGAGGGGAAGTAAGCCGGCTGTCCCATGTTAGTAGATTTACTTGCATGTAAAAGATCCTCAAGAATAAATGACGCCTACGAGCTAAATTCAAATCGCCTGTTTCTCGCCCAAGAAATACTTCCTTTCTCTGCTAGTTGGCGAAAGCAGCGTAGCGAAATTTGCGTGGTCAGACGGAAGTGCAGGCCTCATGGCCTGAGTCTCGCCACGTAAAATAAGGCATAAATTCAATTAAATTCTATTCAATTCACAAAGATAAGTGCATAGATGTCTTCACATAACAATTTTATTCACTACAACGTTTCGGAGACTGTTTTGTCTTTCTCATCAGGTACAACTGAAAATTTAATCACAAAGTTTTGCATGTTGCCTTTACATAATAATTTTATTTACTATGACATTGTCTTTACATAATAATTTTATCACTACAACGTCTTTACAAAATAATTTTATCACTACAACATTGTCTTCACATAATTTTATTCACAACGATGTTTGTCTTCACATAATTTTATTCACTACGACGTTTGTCTTCACATAATTTATTCACAACAACCTTTGTCTTCACATAATTTTATTCACTACAACGTATTTTTGGCTTCATGCAAAATTTTGTGTTTAAATTTTTAGTTGTACCTCATGAGGGAGACAAAAGAAGTCTCAGAAACGTTGTAGTGAATAAAATTATTACGTGAAGACGTTTTTGCACTTATCATTGTGGTTGTCCTTGATTTAAAATAAGGGACTGAGCAACAAATAAATAATAATAATAATAATAATAATAATAATAATAATAATAATAATTCAGAGTGGGGATGAAGTTGCTCACGTCTGTAGTTTGCCACACGTGTCACCTGAGTAACGCTAAATGAGCAACAGTGATTTGCCACCTACGCGTTTGACCATTGTGGGTGTGCGGATCCCTTCAAGCTGAGGAGAAAGTCTGTACGTCTATACTGTTCGGCGCATCACCAAATGGCTTACATGCCAAGGGTGGGCATTGGCTAACAAACAACATTACATTCTTTAATTGAAAACAACTTATCCTCTGATCAATGTTGTTTTATTTATTATTGGGGGTGGGGGAGTAAAAAGTATAAAAAGAAAAGAAGAAAAAAAATATTGAAGTAAGAATTCTTAAACACTCCCACATACTATCCATCAAATTTTCTAATTAAAATTTAATTAAAGCCATCTACTTTTACACAAGTACTTATTTAAGCTACATTATTTTGGCTGTACATTACAATTTCAAGATAATCTTTAAGAAAATAAAAATCGACTTTCTCTACCAAATGCATTTCCAAAACAATTGGCATTGCAAAAAAGTTGGAAAAATTCTACTATTGCATTCAAATACTTGGCATTTTGAATTTGGTGAATCCTGTCAAAATAACATTTCAATATTTCATCATCAGCCTTTTATTACACTTTTGGGTAGTAGGAACTACAGTTATTATAAGAATTTCTATTTTCAGAAGAGTATGTGTGTCTGTCCTCACTTTTGTTTTAAATGAAATTATTGCTGACAACACTGCATTCATAGAAATAAAAACTACCTTCGTAGATACAAATATTGATGAAAGCCACTATTGCAGAAAGAGGAAAACATTTAAGGAAATGTTTTTGGTCGCAAAGAATATGACTCAAGATTTCTTCAAATTAATTCAAAAAATAAACTCTTCCAATTCACACACATGCATGTCACTGAAAAAACTTTAGAGCTAATTTGTCATAAAAATTGAATTAATGGTATCCTAGAGTTTTACCTTGCAAGGTGATGGAAATGCTCCTAAAACAGTCTCTAAGGTTTGTAATGTCACTTCCTGGTTATTGATACATCTCAACCAATCTCCTAAACAATAAAGATGTTAATTACGAAATATGTCCATATATGACAGAACATTATTATGATCATTATTTATTCCATTAATAATTAGGTAGGCCTTGAGGTCACACAGCCCCTGTGATGCTTGTGGATACTGAAGAGCATATAAAGACATTAGGCTACAGAAATAACATACGCAAATACACAACTTACAAAAAGCTTCCATTAAACATTTACAGTATATTTATTCATGCATTACATGCTGAACTTATCTTGTAGCTATTGGAGGTCTTTCAATGTAAAATTAGAACTGTAATGCAATTTTAGAAATGGATACAAGTTTGAACCACTGGAGCACCAGTTCTCAAATTTGACACAAAAACTTTTGACAGGTAGAGGAAGAACTTGGGGTTCACAATCCCAAAATATTACGCCATAAAATGTTAATATTAATTATGCAATTTGTAATGCATCTCTGAGACATTGTTACTCAGTGAAGTGGAGCGGACAGGAGGGTGGGAGTGGAAGAGCAGGAAGGATGGGGGAAACCACAGAGACTAAGGACAGTGGAAAGGATGGCGAATAGGAAGGGGGGAGGAAAGGGCAGAAAGCCCAGGGACAGTAGGAATGACGGTAGTCAGAGTGTAGCAGGAACGACAGAGGGCCTAGGGTGGTAACAGTTACGATAGGGACATGCGGGGGGGGGGGCAGCAGGAAAGACAGGGACAGAAGCAAAGGACAAGAGAAGCAGGAAGGATGGAGGGCAGTGGGAAGGACAGAGGAGTGAAGATGGCAGAGACAAGGGGGAGCAGGGGGAAACAGAAAGGACAGGGAGGTCACCAGGTAGGGCAAGGGGCCTGGAAACAATGGGGGGAAAAAGAGGCAGTGGGACCATGTGAAGGATGGAGATGGGAGCAGGGGCATTGGGCAAGGTCAGGCTTTCGGTATGGAGATGAGACATGTGATGCTGATTAATAGACTCCTGGACAACATCAAGTATTAATTAAATAAAAAATGAACTGAATAACTCACCGATTCGAATGCCATTAAGACGAATAGCCTCACCGTTTGGGATAAAACCTACAATTCTCACTTTATTTTCATCTCCAGATGCACTCACAACTAAGCCCAAAAGTGATTCAGCAAGGCTTGCACGACGGCCTAAGTTATGGCGAGCAGCAGGATCAAGTTGTAGACTCACTTCATACGCTCCTTCACTGTCCTGCTGACGAAATATATTTCAGGGTGGAGAAAAGTATTTTTTGTTTTTAAAGAATAAAAAATTACAATTTTAAAAGAACACTTATTGAATAATAACATTCATTGAATTAGTTATTAACCTTATAATACCATGAAGAAATTAGTAGAAAAGGGAAATTCATGTAAAATATTTAACAAATATTGATGGATTGAAAATCTAAAACCAATGATGAAAAAAAATCATAAATGGTTGTCAATCTATAATTCTCAGGATTGAGCTGCATACATGAAACAAATCAATAATCAAAAAACAAGTATGTTAAATACAGAGTCCATGTAATAGAACAGGTAGATACAAAAGATTTTTTTATAAAGAAGAAATTACAAATTTTAAGGTCTTGAGAGTTAACAATACAAGTTAGTAGATGTTGCGGGTATTCAAGCTATCCGCTTGTTTTGTGAGGAGTGCGAGGTTCACTTGTTCATGAATTACTCCACCATGCGCTGAAAAGTCACATGCCAACCATCGGAGGGGAAAACCACATCGTTGAAACTGACGAATGCAAGATCGACCGCCAGAAATATCGTGTAGTAAAAGGACAGATGGTTCGGCCCATAATTGACCGGAAAACTAGAGACGTTCGCCTGGAAGTGCTCCCAATAACAGAAGGGATTCGGCCATGTTGCAACTGATTTTGCACCGACTTTTCGAGGGGGCACAGACAGCTGGATCAAAACAACTAGAGGCAGAGAACCACTCTCTTCACTTCCTAGATCCTGTAACTGGTGTTCACAGAAACAACATTGAATCCAACTGGCGTCGTCACCTTGGTAGAAGACTGGCCCGACTGCTCGACACGAGGACATGGTTATGCACTTGGCTGAGTATTTATAGCACCAAGATTGCCCGAGACTGCGCCGAGATCCGTTGATGTTGATAATGATGATTCAGGTTTAAAGGCGCTTCAACAGCTAAGGTCATTGGCGCCCGAGTCATTTTTTAAGAGCAATACGCACTGTACCAGTGCCAGTCTAAAACTTTTTTAATGCAAGGTAAAACGTAAGTAAAACTGAAAATAAACGTGTTCAATTATTTAAAAGGGTTGGCAGAAAAGAGTAAGATAAACACTTTAAAATCTTCAATTACAAGCTTCTTCTCTCAGATAATGCTGTAAATGTCAGACTCTCAAACAGACTGTAAATGTAAGAAGCTAAATTGCTTGCAGAGGGAAGATTCGTCATTTCCAAGTACCTGTGCTAGAGAGCTAGCAAGGAAAGCCTTCGCCGGCTATCTCTTACGTCAGAACAGTGCAGGAGGACATGCTCCTTAGTCATGCTCCAAGATCTGTCTCGCAACTACCGCAAGTAGGGGGCGGACCACCACGGAGATATCCGTGGGAGAAATGACAGAGACCGCTCCGAAGGCGTGACTGAATTATCTCCTCGCGTCTTGAACCACGAGATGCAGAAGATCAACAGAATCCTTGATTCTCGTGAGTTTAGTCTGAATTCTGCCACTCTGTTTGCCACGCACCAGTCTAATAAACAGCTCGGTATCGTTTGTTGGGGCTGTAAGGATGTCTACCTCATTTTTCTTTGAGGCGAGCTTGGCTGCCTGGTCAGCAATTTCGTTCCCTATTATCCCAATGTGACCAGGGATCCAACAAAAAAACAATTTATAACGACGAATCAGTAAATTAGGAATTTGGTGTTGGATGATTGTGAGAGGGTCACAAGTAGAGAAGCAGGAGACGGGGAGCTTTTTGAACTACTGCAGCTCACAACTTCTTTTAATGTCATCGATTCAGCGAACTTCAGTGCCTCCAAGAGCACTTATTTTTCTGAAGTGTAAGCGCTGCACGTAGAGTCGAAGACTTCGCATGGCATTGTGGCAGTAAAAGGCACACCCTACATTACCATTCTGGGAGGAACCGTCGGAGTATATGAAGTTATAGCTGGGATTCATGACTATCGTCTCCTGGAATTCCGCCAAAATGTACTGGGGGAGTTGAGGTTTTGGGGAAGTGATAATCTCAGGCCGGAGAAGCTTCCCAATGGGAACAAGTTTTCGGAAGGGGAGGTTCTCAGGGATGGGATAATTTATATCGTTTTTGCAAGAGCGTGCAGAGACGGATACCCGCCGATTAGGGTAACGATGGTCTGAGTTTGTACGATGTCCTGTGACTTGGGTGAAGGACTGCTAGGCGCGAAGGATTATTATGGCCGATACTTTCGCATCATAGGAGCCGATTATATTTCGCCTTCGGCTCAGTGATTACTCATCAGCCTCGGCAGGTAGAGGCATTCAATGCGACTCGTGCGGTAGGCGCTTGTGCTGACCCGAATACCGGCATTATCTCAGGTATTCAATGACCGGAGCGTCGATGGAGACGCTGACACATAAACAATGGACGGATGATAGTCCTATATAGGCGCAAAAGTCATACTCGTCTGTGCCCCATGATCTACCAGTAAGGGTACGAAGGAGGTTCAATGGTGGTACAAGCGCCTCTTCATGTTTTCAATGTGCTTTCACCATGTTAAACCTTTGTCGAATGACAGGCCAAAGAAAGTGGCAGATTCGGCATAGGTAAGTTGACCTCCCAAAAAATGATCAAGATGATTACGGAGGTGATATATTCTACAGAAATGCATGCAAATGGATTTTGAGGTGGAGAACTTTAAGTTTTATCGATCCATTCTCGCAATTTGTTGAGGACAAGCTCTAAAAGCCTCTCAATAACTTGCATGCTCTTCTAGGAGCAGAATATGCCAAAGTCAACAAAGAAAAGCGATGCTTTTAAAGGCTCTCGAATTACTGATGCGATACCTTTGATAGCAACGGTAAACAAAGTGACACTCAGAATTGATCACTCGGGAACGCCGTTTTCTAACTAGTGACTGAGGGCGTATCACCGAGGACCGGAAAGATCTTGACGATAGAAAATCTACTAGAAACGAAGGGAGCCGTCCCCTCAGGCCCCAACAATGCAGGGTGCGAAGAATGCTGTACCTCCAGGTGCTGTCATACACTTTCTCTGTCGAACAAAATTGCTACTTGGTGTTGACGTAGCATCAAAGAAGTGAAGATCTGAGTGGCCAGGGAGACTAAGTGGTCCATGGTTGCTCTGCGCTTCCTGAAACTACACTGAAAAAGTGTAAACAGATACCTTTGCTCCAGGAGCCATACCAGACTTGTTTACCATTCGTTCTAAAAGCCTGCACACACAGCTTGTGAGCGAGATTGGGCGGTAACTTGAAGGGATTTTCCAGACCTTTCCGTCTATAAGCATTGGAACAATGGCTTCAATCCAAATCATTGGTAAAGGAATGTAAATCCCAAATGACGTTGAAAATACGGAGAATACGAGCATTTTTCCGGTAGATGTTTAAGCATTTGATTATGAATCTGGTCCGGTCCTAAAGCAGAATCTTTAGTGAGGGCACGCGAAAATTCGGCCTCGGAGAAAGGACCAAGTTTCCGACATCAGTTTTCTTTCTCTGTTTCCCGCTCAGCTCGGTGGATTAAGCCAGCAACGTTTCGGTCGGGAATATCGAAATTGACCAGAATGTGGAAGTGGTTACTGCCATGCAGGTCGCCAAGAACAGTCCACTCAAAGATGGTAGACAGGAATACAGAGAGCCAGATCGATGGACGAGTAATGCACTCAAAATTAAGTTCTGATTGTCAATTATAGTTTCAAGTATATTGCCTCTCGAGCAGGTCCTAGTGTCGCCCCAGGTGGTATTGTGGGTATTAAAGTCCCCCGCAAAAAGAAAAGGGGGCGAGCAATTGAGAAAACATATCTTCAAGTTCCTCTTGCGACACGACTTGGCCAGGCGGGATATAAACGTTGCAAATAGTTATCGATATAGTGTAGAAGTTCACACGAATACAAGATGTCTGAAGAGTGGTTGTACGTTTATTTTTTTGGACGCCATGTAGTCTGTGACAACTGTAACGACTCCGCCATATGCCCGGAGGCCATCATCAATGTCTTGCCTGTAGCAGCAAAAGCCACGGAAAGGGAATGCTCAGGAAGAAGATATGTTTAAGATAAGGGAGATAACAACGGATCTATACAGGGACATGATCTTTAATTCCTCTAAACGGATGCGAAAGGTATTTAGGTTCCACGGGAGGAAAGCCATTTCTTTTAGATGTTAAGTTTCTTTGTTTTTAAGGTGATTTTTCTCTTTTTCCGTTTGTGTCTCTGTGGCCCGAAGGGGTGACTGTCCACCGCGGCTGGAGTTTCTTCTGAGGCAGATTCCTCCTGAGCACTGCTCGACAGGCTAAGATATCACTCAGAGCGAGTCTCAGGAGTCGGGGTAGGTGGTTGGAGTTCATTGGAACTATCTTTTTTAAGTTTGTCCCCGTCAGAAGGCCGAGTGACTTCGGCCTTCATGCGGGGTTGAGAAGTAGGCTCTAGGTCTGACTTCGCCTGTGTAGTTTTCTTGAATAATTTGAATTTGGAGGGAATTAGTATCTTCCCACCTTGCAGAGGCGATGGCTCCTCAGGGAAGTCCACTGGAGTCACCTGGCAACAGAAATGAGCAACTGGGGGAGTAGCAAGTGAAGTCTGACAACTCACTGTTGCTTTGGCCGTCTTTGCCAGAGTACTGAAAAAAACGCCCGAGATTTACAGGGTTCTTCACTAAGTATCGGCGTTTCGTCTCAGGAAAATATACTTTCTCCGTCACTGATCTTTTGAATCTCCCTATCAGAGCAACTGTTCGAGTTGGCCGAAAGGTATCCTTCACAGTTAACACAGCAAAGTGGGGAGGCACTGAGATCCATATAGTGCGTGGATTTGCCGCACTTTGCGGAAACAAGGGTTACGGCCATGCACCACTTTTGGTTATGGCCGAGTCTCTGGCACTTGAAACAACACCGGGGTATTAGCACATACTGTCGCACGTGGATATTATAAAACACAAATAATGCTATCTGGGAGAGAGGGAAGATTGAACGCTAAGAGCAAAGTGGGAGCAGGGATCTCTCTCCTCTTGATACTAAACACC